TAACACTTTCCACTGTAATTCTTCCCTTCCAAATGATCTTTTAATTAACTACGTTATGCTTATCCTGTATAAAAGTATATGTGGCCTACTTGTCCCCTCTATTAGAATGTAAGCTTCTTGAGATTGTTCCATTGTATTTGTGTCTCATTATGTGCCATGGTATGTGGCACATAGTAGGAACTTAATGAATATATTTTGATTGATGAAATTCTTCCTAAGGGAAGTCCGTGTTTTCTATTGTAGGTGTACACCTTTTCCTCATGGGAATGCTTTTCACTGGGATCCCTTCCTTCTTTTGGGTTGAGACCCTACTCTCATTCTTAGTGCTTACTTCTTTTTTTTTTGTTCAGAATTTCTTAGCACTTTTACTGTATTATCTCCTGTGTGATGGTGTTAAGTTGGGTTTTTTTGGTTTCTTTTTTCTCTTTTTGGTTTTGAGCAATCATACTCTTCTGGGAAGCCTGAGATCCTTAAGTTGTCTCATAAATCCTGTCTTTGAGGTCAGTAACTTTGGCTTATATGGATCATGTGTTCTTTTTTCCTTCTTTTTCCTCGTCTTCAGTTTTTTTAGTTTAATTTTGTTTTCAATATCAAATTCTGTTCCTTTTAATTTCTTTGTACCCCACCCATTGAGAAAGTTAAAAAAAAATAAAATCCATTACAAATGTGCATAGTCAAGCAAAATAAATTACTTCATTGGCATGTCTACAAAAAATATATGCTTCATTGTACACTCTGAAGCAGTTACCTCTCTATCTGGAGGTGGTTAGTATGTTTTATCATGAGTCTCTTGGAATTGTGATTGGTGATTATATTGATCAGAATTCCTAAGTCTTTTATAGTTTTCTTTTCCAGTATTGTTGCTGGTGTTCTTCTGGTTCTACTCATTTCATTTTGCTTCTGTTTATACAAGTTTTCCCAGGTTTCCTTGAAACTGTTCCCATCATCAGTTCTTACAGCAGTCATTCCATCACATTCATATACCATTATGTGTTGAGCCATTCCCCAGTTGAGGAACAGGTTCTTAGTTTCTAGTTCTTTGCCAAAATAAAAAGAACCACTATAAATATTTTTATGCATATGGGTCCTTCATCTCTTTGGGGTATATACCTAGTAGCAGTATGGCTGAGTCAAAGGGTATATTCACAATGTAATAACTTTTGGGGTATGATTCTCGGTTGCTTTGCAGAATGTCTGGACCAGGTCACAGTTTTAAGAATAGTACGTTAATGTGCCTGTTTTCCCACATTTCCCTCCAGCATTTTTCATTTTCCTTTTTTGGTCAACTTAGACAATCTGATAAATGTGAGGTAGAATCTCAGAGTTATTTTAATTGGCATTTCTCTAATCATTACGTTATTTAAAACATTTTAAAAATCTGGCTAAGGATAATTTGGATTTCTTCCTTTAAAAACTGCCTGTTCATATCCATTGACCGTTTTTCCGTTGGGGAATGGTGTTTATTCTTATAAATTTGAATTAGTTCCCTGCGTGTCTTAGAAATGAAAACTATCAGAAAAACTTGCTGCAAAGAATTTTTTGCATTTTCTTCTCTCTTAATTTTAGCTGTATTCATTTTGTTTGTGTAAAAACTTTTAAATTTTATATGATCAAAATTGCTTTCTGGTGAAGCAGTCAGGGTTAAGAAACTTGACCAAGGTCTCACAGCTAGTAAGTGTCAAGTATCTGAGGCCAGATTTGAACTCAGGTCCTCCTGACTCCAGGGCCAGTGCTCAATCCACTGTACCACCTAGGTGCCCCCTGAAGATAAGTCTTCTTGAGTTCAAATCTAGCCTCAGACACTTGACTGTGATCTGGTCAAATTACTTAGGTTTCACTGGCATTGGTCAATTAGTTGGTTAACAGGAATTTATTAAACCAAGTACTTTGGGTATCAGGGAATGTATTTTCTATTGTAGTCTGCATTAAAGTAAGATTCAGTTATTGTCATTCATATTGGCATCAATGTTACATCAGTATTAATACTTAAATATTAATACTTATATATTAATTAATTAATTAGGTAGTAATACTTATGGTCCTGATATTATATCTTATGTGCTTGACAATGGATCATAAGAAACATAAATATAAAACTAAAAGGAACCTTAGCCTGGCAGTATCAGTTTCTTCTGCTACAGGCCCTTATCTCCTCACTCCCGGACTATTGCAGTAGCCTACTGGTTCATCTTGTCTGCCACAAGTCTCTTTCCACTCCAGTCTATCCTCCCTTGGGCTGCAAAAATTATTTTTCTAAAATGCAGTTCTGATCATGTCATGCCTCACTCAGTAGACTCCAGTATCTCGCTGTCATGTCCAGGATCAAATAAAAAAATCCTCTGGTGTTCAAAGCCCCTCATAACTTAGCCCTCCCCTCCCCCCACACACACTTTTCTAGCCTTCTTACATATCCCAGCACTCTCCCACCCCCACTCTATACTCTTCCGTCCAGTGACACTGGCCTCCTTGCTCTTTGATCAAGACCCTCTTTCACAGCTCTGGCATTTTCACTGATTAACTCCCATGCCTGGAATGATATCCCTCCTCATCTCTATCTCCAAGCTTCCCTCATTTCCTTTGAGTCCCGGCTAAAGTTCCACTACAGGAAGCCTTTTCCCATTCCTCTTCCTTATAATGCCTGCCAAATGTTGGTTATTTCCAGTTTATTTTGTATTTGGCTTGATTGTACAGTTGTTTGCATGTTATCTCACTCATTATTTTGTGAGCTCCTTGAGAAAAGAGACTGTCTTTTGCCTTTCTTTGTATCCCCAGTCCTTAGTATAGTACCTGGCACACAGTAATCACTTAATAAATGCTTATTGACTGACTGGTGTAGAACAACCTTTTCTTTGTAGGGAATTTAAGTCCCAGCAAGATAAAGTGAGAACAAGCATTTATTAAGCAATTAATTGTGACCCAGGCACTGTGTTAAGACCAAAGTTCAAATAAAAAAAGGCAAAAACAATCTGTGTCCTAAAGGAGCTCATTTTGATGGGTAAGACATCATTTAAACAACCAGATATATATAAAATATATACAGAGGAGATAAAAGGTAACCTGAGAATAGAAGATACTAGGAGCTGGGGGTTAAGGAGGGAAAGGCTTCCTGTAGAAGATAGAACTTGATCTGAACCTTGAGGAAAGAAGATATTTGGGATATTTAGATGTGGAGGCAAAGCATTCCAAGCAGGGGGACAGTCTCAGTGCAAAGGCCCAGAGATGGAAGTTGGAATGAAAGGAGCATCTAGTAGGGTAACTAGACTGTAGAGTTCCTGGAGGGGGTGGGGGTAAAGTGAAAGAAGTCTGGAACTGTAAGAAGGGCCAGATGATATACAGATGATAAACAACCTTAAATGCAACACAGGAGTTTATATTTAATCCTGGAGGTAATAGGCTGCCATTGGAGCTTATGGAGTGGGATGTTACATAGAAAACCCTTTTGGTAGCTGGAGGGACCATGGATTGGGGTGGGAGAGACTGGATAAAGGCAGAGAGACCAACCAGAGGGCTATTGCAATAGTCCAGGGTAAGAAGTAATGAGGACTTGCACTAGAGCAGTGGTTATTGTGAATGGAAAGGAGACAGATGCCAGAGATGGTGTGAAGGTAGAAATAACAAGATTTGGTAGTGGATTGGATATGAGTGGTGAGAGAGAGTTGGGAGTTGAGTGTGTCACATTGATTTGAGCCTATGTGACCAGGAGCATGCAGGTGTTCTTGATATGTAACAGGCAAATTAAGAAGAGAGGACAATCTGGGGGAAAACCACAGTTTTGTCTTGGACATATGTTTGAAATGCCTATAGCAGGTGATGAGGGTCTGTAGTTCAAGTGAGACTAGGACTGGTCTGGGAATCATCTGTATAGAAATGATCATTGAATTCATGGAAGTTGGTGATATAATTAAGTTGGTCGCTGTTCTTAATAGTCTTTGAGGATTTAAGACTAACTCAAGGCCCCTTTCCTTCAGATTGAGTGTGGCCACTGATGTTGGCTCTCCTTGCCCCATTTCACCTCTTGGCTTTCATCATTTCATCTTCTTGTTGGGATGAATTGGCGTTGCCACTTTTTTCATGATTGGGTGAAGCCACAGAGGGCTAAGTATCTGCAATTTGCTGTGAGTTGTGGGTTTGCATGTAGTGAAGTGTTTGTAAAGCCTATACAACAGGAGAGCAACTCAATGTAGGCAACTCACGGAAGCCTGGAGGTCAATTTGTCCTGATTGGTATTTCCTTCCTGGGATCATATATGCTGAGAGGGTGATACTTTCTCTTTTGTTAATTTACAAGGATTTTTCCTTGTTGGGATTTTCTTTGTCCTATAATTACTTCATCAGATGTATAATTTCGTTTAGGTTGGGTTTTGAGAATAAATGGGGACTGGGAAAAGTATCTAGTCTACCATCTTGTTCACTTGACCAGTAGCCAAACTCTTCATCCTTGAAGGATTTATAATCTTTTGATAATGAAAAATAAAATAAAATTAGGAAGACACAAAATTAGAAAATTGATGAATGTATACAAACTTGGCAGATAAATGAAAGTATACAAAGTAGCTCATTGATGCACAGGAGTCAACTGGGACCTTGGGGACATTCTCAGTAAAAAGTTACATGTAAGTGGATAATTGATTTACAACAGCTTTTTTTAGATGCTTTCCATTTTCCTGCCAAAGGCAGCAGAATTTCCCACAGGAATGAAAAATTTTCATAGTCTCTGGATAGCAGTAGCTAAACTACTCATAGTACTTTGCAGTAACATCAGCCTCTCTAGAAACACACACGAAAAAATACAGATATAGAGCCCTGATTCTATAGAAAGTTATTCTATAAATAAATTGCAAGTCATTGACTTTAAGAATAATATTATAACTGAATTTTCTTCTGAATTTCTACTGACAAAGTACGTTTGTTTTCAAATTGTGAGGCATCTGGGTGGGGACAAGAGAAGGATTTCTAAAATTACTATTAACTAATATCTTTGTGCTTCTTTTTTTTTTCCAGAATACAGTTGCTTTTGAATTAAGATGATTTGATGCCTTATAATAAAAGCTTCATTAACCATGATGGCTACACAGACATTAAATATAGACAGCTATCAAGATGGTCAACAAGTGAGAGCTTTGTAATTTTCCTAAAATGCTTTTATTCGTTTTATTGACTAGAGCCTTTATAGTGTTAATTACTAAATCAATTTATGTGATTGTTACTTAACTTTTAATTATATGTTGGTCTTGACAGGTTAATTCATAAAACTTTTAAGTTCTTAAGTGAATATAAAACATAAAGCAATTTAAAAATTGTTAGCAACTAGATATTAATTATAACTAAGAAATCTGCTTGTTAAGTAAAAATCTAATTGATATCAGTCTGAATAATTCTATTGATTTTTTAAAATTAAGCTATAAATATGAGATTTAAAGATTAAGTCTTTGTTATATTGTACATATTGCTCTTTGGAGTGTGGGACTTCAATTTTTAAAAAATGGGAAACCTGTTTTCACATAATAAAAAAAAGAATTTATGTATAGAAAACAACATTCAACTTGTTCGTCTCTATATGTCTTGATTTTAATCCCTGGAAGGACAAGAGAGATCTTTTGGTACCATAGAAATTAACTATTTACTGCTGTAATTTGGATTAGGGTAAGATTCACATATTGTCATTCATGTTGGCATAAATGTTATGGTTCTGACATTGTTATGTTAGGTGCTTGACATTGGATTTTAGGATCATAGTTATAAAGCTATCATTCTGATGAGTAAAACATCATCTAAACAACTAGATACATGTAAGATACATATACAGAGGAGATGGAAGGTAATCTGAGAATAGAAGGTACTAGGAGCTATCTTTCTTGTAGAAGATAGGACTTGAGCCTTGAGGAAACAAGTCAGGGGTATTTGGATATGGAAGCAGAGCATTCCGGGCAGGGGGACAGCCCCAGTGCAAAGGCCAGAGATGGAAGTTGGAGTGCCATGTGAAAGGAGCATCTAATAGTGTAACTAGACTGTAGAATTCCTGGAGGGGGTAGTAAAGTGAAAGAAGTCTGGAACTGTAAGAAGGGCCAGATGATAACTTTAAACGCCAAACAGAGGGGTTTATATTTAATCCTGGAGGTAATAGGCTGCATTGGAGCTTATTGAGCGGGATGTGATGTAGAAAACCATTTTGGTAGCTGAAGGGAGCATGGATTGGAGTGGGAGAGACTTGATAAAGGCAGAGGGACCAACCAGAGGGCTACTGCAATAGTCCAGGGTAAAAAGTAATGAGGGCCTGCACTAGAGCAGTGGTTATTGTGAGTGGAAAGGAGACAGATGCCAGAGATGGGTAGAAATGACAAGATTTGGCAATGGATTGGCTATTTGGGGGGTAAGACTGTGAAGTTGAGGGTATCCAAAAGGCAGTTGGTGATGGGGGGTCTGTAGCTGAGGAGAGACAGCAGGGATGAATATCTTCATGGGTATAATTAGTCCTCCAGAAGTTAATGAGATCACTTAGAGAAACAAGATGGAGTAAAAAAGAGAAAGATTGCTCAAGACAAGGCCTTCCTGCATGCCCAGGTTTAGGGGACATGATATAGAGGAAGAGCTATCAAAATAGACTGAGACAGGGGCAGCTAGGTGGCTTAGTGAATAGAGCCCTGGCCCTGGATTCAGGAGGACCTGAGTTCAAATACGGCCTCAGACACATGACACTTACTAGCTGTGTGACCGTGGGCGACTCACTTAACCCTATTGCCTAGCACACACACAAAAAACTTAGACTGAGACAGAGCAGATGAGAAAAGAATTATAAGAGGTCAGTACCATTAAAACCTTGAAATGACTTGCCCAATGTCACATGTAGGAAGCAGAACCCAATTTGAACTGAAGGCTTCTGACTGATAATTCAGTGCCTTTTCCAATGCCAGTGGCAGTACACCATAATACTACTGGAATCAGACATGTTTTCAAGTAAGCAGAATCTTTTCATTTTTACATTTATTTTGAACTTATTGGAGCAAATTATTTTTATTCTTCATGTTACTATTGATTCAGTAGTTTCTGGTTAAGAGATGCTTTTTATACATTCTCAGTTGATCCTCACAAAAAGCCATCAGGTGAGTAGTACAATTATTATCTCCCCCATGAATAAACAGCGTCTCAGAGAAATTAAGTGAGTTTGGGTCTGCTCTGTGCAGCTCTGTCTGAAGGGAAAACCAAACCAAATTCTTGCCAATGTAAATCCCTTTTCTGTTTGCTCGCTAATTTATATTGATAGTGTTGTCAGATACACTGGTGGTAAGAGGTTTATTTCTCCTCGTAACATAGGGTTTGACAGCAAGCAGATAGCTGCCTTAGCTATGAATTGACCTGCTTTCCATGCAGGAATCCTATGGAGCTTTCAATTTTTCTGTCAAAGTTGACACAACAGGGAGAATTAGAAGGTACCATCAGTATGCTCCTTGCCCATCTTTAGGTCACCGCATTCAGTTTAATGCCTCACATGCAGTGGCTCTTCAATAAATCTTTGATTAGTTGAGTGAACAACGTTGATTCGGTTTATTTTATCCTTTAGAATCAAACTGAAAACAACTTGTTGAGCCAAAGTTGACCTGTAGGCTTAGTTCTTTTCTCGTCCTGGAACTGAGTGTAGAGAGAGATACAACATTTATTAGAAGCAGCTGTTCTGTGCTGGCTACTTTGATATGAATATAGGCCATCAAGAGAGTTCCTGCCTATGAAGAGCTTACATTCTATTCAGGGAGGGAGGGGTAGAGGTGGTATTGAGATGGCTGGGATTTGGCATGGAGGCCTGGTTCTGGGAAAGATATGTTGAAAACTCCCCTTTGGAGCAGGGGGACCCAGGAATAGAGTTCAAGATTATGGTGGTGAAGGGAGATGAGGATGAACTCTTTAGTGCCAGCAGCATGATGAGGAGATGACTAGAAAATGCCATGAGGGCTGTAGAGATAATCTGCTTTATAAAGTAAGCAAACATTTATTATTAATGCTTCAAGGATACTTGACTTTATTCATTTAGGTATTCCCCTTATGTTGCAAGCCAAGCCAAATCCCTCCTTAATAGAGGGTTTATTGATTGCTATGGCCAAAAGAATTAGTTATGTGGTGTCCAAATATTTGGTCATGAGCCTCTCTTATGTTAAGCTATTCCTTAGATCTCGGGTATAGTCAGTCAATCACTTGGCTCGTAATTGATATCTTTCCAACTTGGTAGCACTACAAGCCTGAGTTGGTGGTCTGTTGGCCCATAGCCTTTAAGAACTGAGGCTCTGTTCTATGTCAGAGGAAAACAAACCATTCACTTTATATATAATCTTGCTGAAATGTCTCAATACAAAATACATAATATTGTGATGAGATTATATGCAAAGTAAATTCATTTAGAATGAATTAAATTGTCCCCCTGCTTTGTTTATAAATTTGGAATTGTGTTCATTTAGGGAAACTCCTTTAATAGAAAATTTAATTACTTGTGGTGAGACATGTTAAATTAATAATATTCATGTAGCATGCTGGACTATAAATAGACAATAATATATGATTTTCCCAGTAGTGGTATGAATCTCTTTTTAATCAACCATCTACAATCTTTCATTCAGTTGCTTTTTTTTTAAATGGTACTCCACAAAACTTGACTGGTAAGAATTAGGGATGTAAACTATGGCCATAGAAAAACATTTAAATAGCTTATTTTTTAAAATATTTCATTTTTTCCAATTGCATGTAAAGACAATTTTTTGCATTCATTTTTTATAAAATTTTGAGTTCCAAATTTTCTCCGTCCTTCACTTCGCTACTCCCCTCCCTAAGACAGTAGGTAATTTGATACAGATTATATATGTGCAATCATGTAAGACCTGTTTCCATATTAGTTGGTATGAAAAAAGAAATAGTTTGCAAAAAAAAAAACCTTACAGTTTACAGAAGGAAAAAAAAACAAAAATAAAGTGAAAATAGTATGTTTCGATCTGCGTTCAGACTCGATCAGTTCTTTCTCTGGATGTAAATGGCATTTTCCATCATGAGTCTTGGAATTGTCTTGGATCATTATATTGCTGAGAAGAACTAAGTCAATTATAGTTGATCATCACACAGTATTGCTGTTACTGTGTACAGTGTTTTCCTGGTTCTGTTCACGTTGCTTTGCATCAGTTCTTGTAAATCTTTTGAGGTTTTTCTGAAATCTGCCTGCTCTGCATTTCTTATAGCACCATAGTATTCCGTTATATTCATATACCACAGCTTGTTCAGTCTTTCCTGCTTTCCATGCAGGAGTCCTATGGGGCTTTCAATTTTTCTGTCAAAGTTGACACAACAGGGAGAATTAGAAGGTACCATCAGTATGCTCCTTGTCCATCTTTAGGTTACAGCATACAGTTTAATGGTTCACATGCAGTGGCTCTTCAATAAATCTTTGATTAGTTGAGTGATTGATAGGCCTCCCCTCAATTTCCGATTCTTTCCCACCACAAAAAGAGCTGCTACAAATATTTTTGTACATGTAGGTCCTTTTATCTCTTTTATAATCTCTTTGGGATACAGACCTAATAGTGGTATTGCTAGATCAAATATTAAGATTAAGCTTTTGACCTAGCATGCCATTAGCATGGCTCTTTTAGCTAATTAGACATGAAAGTATACTGAGTGATTTTTTTTAAAAATTGGGTGTCTTTAGTACAGAAAAATGAAGGCTAAAATGTTAATGTTTCTTTTGGGGCTGTGAATGAGTTAGAATAGCAGATTCAGGGAATAGAGATCTTAAATTCCCTTTCTTATAGTATGTCCACACTACTGAGGATGGACTCTCTCATGGATCAGTTATGTAATGAAAAAGTACTTGCAAAAAAGAATCTTTGAAGGATATCAATGTGGATCACAACTCCTTCAATCCTCATTGTTTGCCTTTACATACATACATACAGTATTTACCCAAAGCACTGGAGTCTTTCCATTAGATCTTCTAATAGATTACAGTACAACATTCTGGCTGCCCACTTATATTTTTGTTGTTGTTCCTCTCATTCTTTGTTTCTATTTCTATCATTATACATATATTATACATATTACATATACATATACATATATTATACATATATTTTGTCATACA